CTATCCCTTCAAGGCATACAGTTCCCTCCCAAAGTATGCCTCTACTCACCCTTCACCCTAATCTGCCCCCCCTGGGATGAGTATCCCCACCCCAATCCCAGACTAGGGCAACCCCTAACTCTACCCGCACTCCCTCCAGGACGACATTTCCCACCTTGTGTCGCCCTTGCAGAGTGGAGCTCTCCCTTACTACCACGATCCTCCAATCATAAAAAAAAAGCATTGAAGCGCAAAGAGGAGAACTAATGATTATTAATAGAAGAAATAATGAAGTGGAAGAATTGACAGTGGTTGTGAAACTTAGAAGACCAGATTAGATTATGGCATTTGAATTAGGGTCGAATAGCTGATATGTAGATACTAGATAAGATGTGAAAATTCAATAATTCAATAGTAAGAGTTGCAAACAGGAAGTGGTCCGTTCCACCAAGAGTCCATTGAATGGTGACCTAATTTACTGGAGTCTTAGGTTACAAAAACATTTGAATTAAATCCATAGATTCCATACCATAAGAAAGAGCAAATATCAATATAGATTCTGAGAAGAGCCATGTGAGGCAAAAGTCTCATACCCTCCAAGATAATTAATAACGAAGATCTAGAGCTTGAGATTTACGAAGAATCAAGAAAAAAGGAATATTCAGAAAATTAATTAGGAAATAATAGGAATCGATTATAGTTATTTAATTAGATTGTTACTTGTGAGAATATTTGTGGTCGATGATGATTGATTAAAGTAGTAAATTTAGTCAAGAGGAAAGCTGAAACTGGAGAGAAGAAGTAAGGACGATCTTGATGAGAATAGCATTTCAGCAGCACTACCACACTGCGAATCCGGCGAGAAGCACCGCAAACCAGCACAGCGAGCCAGAGCAACATGCAAGAGAGAGGAATGGAAGGAGAGAAAGGAGGGAAAGGAGAAAAAAAGTAGAGATGACAAGATGAAAGGTATGACGGAGGAGAGTAGTGTTAGAATAGAAAGAGAGACACCCCACCCTAAATCTACCCCTATTCACGCACCTCATGCCGACGGTGAAGATGATAATGATGATGACGACACCAATAATAATGGTGAAACTTACCTTTGTATAAAACTGATAATGACGATGATTGATGATGCTGATTGTTGCTGCTGCTGATGATGATAAAGATACCTACTCACGTGTCGCTGAAGATGGTGAAGACAGTGATGATGAAGATATTGGCAGTGATGATGATCCTCAATAGATGAAGTGAACAGGAAGACAATCAGCTGGTCAGTAACCTCGAGTAGAAACCCTCACTCTTGTAATGAACCCTTGAGTAGATCTTGGACTTCACTCGATGACCACCAAAAAAAAAAACAAAAAAAAAAACACTCATTTCCTCCCAACAATCCTCCTCCCACCCCACGGGACACACTCTACTCTTCTTTTTCTTGCGGCTAGTCGACCTCCTCCACCACAATTTTGCAAGACAAAGAGTAGAAGTTATCACTCCTGAAGCAAAGCTCAACAAAAGCAATACTCCCTTCCGTACGGCATGCTAGCCTGCAGCATCACTCATATGGAGCGCAGAACAGAGAGATGGCACAGCAGTGCTTTCAAAAGCCAGGGGAAACCAAGTGTAGAGGAACCAGCCCGTTGCCGCCTTCCAGAATCCACCTCATTGCATCTGTAAATTAGCCTTCCCGCCACGCGCTGGCACCTGCTCCAGAACCAGAAAACCTCAATGCAACGTTAGTATCGAAGTGACACGCTTGCTCACGGGCTAGCAGGTGACGCGTGAGACCCTGGTAACTCCCTTCCGGCCACCAGCCATGGCAGCAGGCTGTAGAGGATGCCTGCGCCCATTCCACCAACCTTACATGCTCTTCCTGCCAAGTTCTCACGCTCACCCTGCTGGCCTCGCTCGCCCACTCATTGCGCAGATGCGCCCGCCAGCCGCGGCTACATGCGCCTCCGGACGCGCGTATCCACAGCAGGATGATCAAACGCGACGCGCACGTGCACATTCCCTCCGTCGCCCATGTTTCCATTGCTGGAGTATCGCTAAGGCACACTCTACCAGTAGTGTTAGCTTCACTGCCTATTCCCGTCACTTGAGTGTTTTCCCCGCTGCAACCCTCAATGTCATGGCCACAGGTAAGTACCGTTCCTACGGGCCTCCCAAGCAAGCAAGTACCCTTGCGGGTCACACACACACCCAAGCCGCACTCAGACAGGCACGCAGACCAGCAAGCACGCACACACACAGACTTAGAGAGCTCAGCAGAAAGCGTGAATCTCGGCAAGGCATTCATTCCAGCAGCAAAACTCCGAAATCAGCTGTGTTCTCAGTCCGTGTTTGGGCAGGTCCTTAGATGGTTTGTTTTCTGAAATTCGGGGAACATCCCCTCAGGAGAGAGTTCACCCCCAAACTCAGACCAGGGGGGAGGTATCAGAAATCGTCTCGCTGTAAACACCCACGCCAAAGGGTACAGGATCCCCAGGGAAATCAAGCCCAGGTCAGCAGAAGTGTGGCTCGCTATAGATGAACTTCATGTCCGTGTAAATAATTCGCAGAAGTCCTCCTGCGCCCAGCTAAACCACCAGTACATGGCCCCAGGCAACTTGAGAGCAACGAGAGGCTCTCTCCAAAAAATTTGGAGGCTCGGAACAACTTGACCAAAACGGCTGCCGGCGCCAGCCAAAATGATCACAAAAACGCCATGCTGGCGTTTTGGCAAAGCTTGGCGTGCAGGCCAAATCCGCCTTGTACAAAAGACGATCAGATGTACTGGTGGTTGCTTCAAAAATCACAGTTTTGCTATACCAGATGTTCAAGGCATAGCTAGCGACTGAATAATCAGTTGAAGAGGAATAGAGGACAGAAGGGATGCAGGGGAAGGGCTAGCAGAGAGTCAAAACGACGGCAGGCAGAGGAATGTAAGAGGAGCAAGACAGGAACCAGAGGAAAAGCAGGTGGTATTCAAGACCTGAGAAGGGTCTGAGATTCTCTGGAACTAGGGGCATTTCTGTCAGGGGCAATAGGGCGAGTAGCCCAGTTTTCATCTCAGACTTGGGTCACGAACGAGCAGGGTTGAAGAGGAAGTAGGTTTAGCCCCAAAGTGCGAGCTTGGTGGAGCAGTACTACATCCTTTCCTGTATTCAGAAGCAATCAATGCTGCTGTCTCAGGATCCCTTGACCATAACGAAGGGGGCCGTTGAGTGTGCTTTTTTATGCAAGGGATGCTGCACCCGATTTCTAGCTGTTTTGTCTTTTCCTCCCTAGCTGTTACTCCAAGGAAAATGCGCGAGAGCGATAGACAGAAAGCCAAATTGCAACATCACACTGAAGACCAGATAGTCGTGTCCCAAGCAGAAAGCAGACTGCACTGAGATACAAGCCAAATAAGAGCAATGCAATGAACTCAAAAACAATGTATCCAATGTCGCTCTTCTTGATTGGCGCTCAGCGCGCAGCCTATCAACACTCAGAATCTATACTAGCCTACCACTACGTGACGAAGCAGCCAGGAACGCTTCCAGTCGAAGACCAATGCACATGAAGAAGTCACCAGTGCAGACTGCCACATACACATCAGGTACGTATCTCTTCTTCCCTCTCCCCTCATCACCTTCTCCCCCACATTGTGCGCCTCCTACCCGAAGACCACCATCACCATCACCAGCCACCGCAGCAGGCCCGGCTATGGCCGCTCAAGCCCGCTGCCACAACGGCAGCGCCCCTCACTCCTCTTGCGCCCATTTGCGCCCAAGCAGCCAGCACCCTGGTCGCAATCTTCAGCACCCAGGATGGCAGCGCTGTCGCCCAGCAGCCTGGCGCCTGAATGACTCACTGGCGCCGGGCACTTTCCGATATGGAAAGTGCTGTGCCCGGCCGAGTGTCCTGTAGCCTGGCGTTGGGTCAAAGTGTCTACGCACAGGCCCATTCAGATAGCGGCCTGGCACCAGAACGGTTAGGCCACACCCAACTGTGTCACCTGGAGCCATGTTGCTGTCTAGCCTGGCGCGTGGTAACTGTCTGGCGTCCCTAAGTTCAGATATGGCCTGATAAAGACAGCGTAGGAAAAATGCAGGCCCGCCTTCACTTAGGGCAGGCTCACGACTTGCAGGGGGCCCCTTCGGGATCGGCTGTTGAGGCCGAGTGGCCTTGTGGGTGGGATCAATCCTCACATTACGGAAAAAAGAAATGAAAAAAAGAAGGTAAGGACTATTAAGGAGATGGGGAAAAAAAAAAGAACGAAAGTATACTTTCAGAAAAGAGAAAATCCGTGCATAGTGCATACAATAAGGGAGGGAAAGATAATCAAAGCTCTCTCTTCCCTTGTCCCCGCTTCCCCCTCCCCCTCCTGTGATTGCAGTCCTTTTTGCGCCATCCCTTTCCTTTACCCCATCCTGCTGTCATTTCGAGTTTTCCACGACCCACAGCTCCTGCTCTTCCCCCTCCTGCGAATTCCAATGGTTTTTTTTCCTGCCTCCCCTTTCCCCCACCCGTACTTCCTTGCTCCTGCGATTTTGATGCTTTCCCTCAGCCCCTCCCCTTGCCCCCCCCCGCTGCCCCCCACCTTCCTACGCCCTTTTCTTTCTTTCTTTTTTTTTTGGGAAAACATCAACTCCATCATATTGGTGGGGAGCTGCACCTGCTGGAAACCGGGTCCAGCGTCCCTTAATACAACAGCATAACCTCACAGAGTGGTTCACCAGTACCTGCGGAGGCCTCTCAGCCCATGCGGCTGCCAAAACAGAGTTCAATAAACCTAGCCTCTACAGTGAACTGAGTCGAGGCAAAAAGCCTCCTATGATTCTTCTAGGTCATCCAGTGGCAGGGGAGACTCCGTCGCCTCGTCCCATAGGTGCCTGGAGATTACCAGGTTACCTTGCCTGGAAAGTGGATGCAGAGAGAACAGGCTGGGTCCTATCGGATCAATCGGCCTCGTCCACAAGAATCCTGATCACAGATTATAATCCGAAGGTGGGGTACGCCCTTAGATCCAAGGCGTCTACATTACAGGCCGGTGACACCTGAGCACCGAATACGGTTGCCCGCTGCACCCGCAGAAAAGGGAGTGAACGACAGGAAGGCTGTTGAGAGACCCGATCAAGATGTCACATTGGCGAACGGTAGATCCGGGGCATGAAGGGTGGGTCTTCGTGGAAGACCGCACAAAGGAAGGACACCCGGTGGGAAGGATATGGGAGAGGAATGGGGAGCCGGAATGGGAGACACGTCCTCCAAACACATGGGTCCCCCCGGCTCCAGTGGAAGAAAAGGTCCATGAGACGCAACTGAGCCCACCGAAAGGGAGCCCGGAAGAGACAGACTGGAGGAGTGGGGGAAAAAAGGGGGGGAGGGGGATCTGGGTTCAAAAGCAGCAAATCGAATTCGGGCTGAAACAGGAAGATAAAGAGAAAGGAAAGGATAAAGAAAAAGGAAAAATAGTCCTCCGAGCAGCCCCTGGCCCGGCAGCGGCACCCTACATCCGGGAGGGGGACAACGGGAGGGCCAAAACGAACAGCAACCCCCCCCCGCGACAACATGGCAAGACGACGGGGCGACAGGGGGTAGAAAACGGGGTGGAGCGACAGGGGCCGGGTGACACGGCGGGGCGACAGGGAGCAGATGATATGGCAATGCAGGCTGAGACAATAAACAGCTCCACCGAGCAGCAGGGCTTGGAGTGCAGGGAGAGAGGGGCGGGGGAGCAAACGGAAGGAGACGAAATGGAGGTGGCAGCTGGGCATAAGGGGTCAGATGAGGTGGATCAGGCGCAGGAGGGGGCCCCGAGGGAAGACCGGACGATGAAGATTGACCCCTTCCTGCCTGCATTTGACCCCGAACCGATGGAAGTTGACCCTCTCCCGGAAAATACCAGCGCAGTGCCAGACGGTTTACCATGTGAGGAGGGAGAGGAGGAAGGGACCTCGCCACTGCACCTGCCGGTGGAGCAGAAACTGGTCGACATTGCAGACTGGTTAATGACCAACTTAAAGGCAAAATATGGCCCCCTCACAGACGACTTTTGGGACAGAACGTACCTGGATCTGTTCCCCATGTTGGACACGAGCGCCTCGCTCAAAAACGTCGTGGAAAATGGTCCGCAATCCGGTGTTAAGTGGACGGAAGCGTGGCACAGAGTGGCCTCCATTGTGTTTGCAAGATTCCAGCCACCCCTTTCACCCCACCCAGCTGCAGCAGAGGAGACGGGACACGACAGGATGCAGGCAACAACGGTAAACGATCAGACGGGGGAGGTACAAACCCCGCCGTTCCTTCAGCCGCCGGTCCCGCCACCGGACCCGGCCCCCCCGGACCCGAACGAGAATACACCACTTGATCTCGTGCGAAGGAAATTAAGACACTTGATTGAGATGGGCCAGGACACGGGACCGCTGTCGCAGGTGGCGATGGTGCTGCTCCCGGTCCGAAAGAAAAACGGGAAATGGGAGGTTGGCCTGACACCGGTTGACAATGGCAAAATGAGAGGAGTCACACTGCAAGGTTGGTCCTCCTTTTGGGTAGGGCACTGCCGATCTGAGGCAGAAGCTGGCATCTTACAAATGCAGCTGGACACGCACATTGCAGAGTTTATGCCCCCCGGTGCACAGGCCACAGCCCCCCTGATAACCGACCCCAATAGAGCCTCACAAAGAGATATCCTCATTCGCTATGACCCGGCCAAAGACGCGGGCCTCAGATGGCACACTCATTCCCAGCTGCTGGATATGCAGACGGTTAGGACCAGACCCAGCGAGATCTGGACAGAACAGGACGTCCAGAGGCACTTGTGTGCCCTTCTCAAACTGGGCCTACAAGCGGGGGCCGCGGACTGGGATTGGGATCAGCTGTCGTGGACCAGACTGTGAGTGGCCGATAGCCACAAAAATGGACCCGGTCAAAGCGGTATATGGTAAGGACCGTGTTTGGAATCAATGTCGAAGGGCGGCAGATCTCGACCTGCGGTCCCTGAATGTAAACGACCTAGCCTCGTGCAAATCAGAAAAGAAGAACGCAATATGGGATCTGATGAGAGGGGTGGGGGGCAGGGACTGGCCGGACGTTGTGTGTATCCAGGAGACCCACATGACGGACTCCCCAGAGCATAATCGTACCCCATAAAATGATCTGGCCATATAAAGCATTCAGAGCCCATGCCCCGAGACCCGGGAGCGCGGGGGTAGCCATCTGGTTTCCCCCTGAATCCCGAGCGGACCCGGTGCACTGGGCTGTTGACCAGGAAGGGGGCAGATGGGTGTCGGTTTTGGTCACCCTGGAGTTGGAGATTGTATGCATTTTGTGTATCTATGCCCCTAACACAGTGAGCCAGAGAAGAACCTTTTTCGAGAAGATTAAAACACAAATCCCAGACAGCGTCCCGGTCATCATAGCAGGAGACTATAATGCAGCCCCGGACCACTGGATGGACAGATGGAGAATTCCCTCCCCGGCCCCAATGTATGTGGAGGAGGACGAGAGGATGATAAGAGACCTAAGTCTCTCATTAAAAGTCTTTGACTCCTTCCGGAGACTAACCCGGATACGCGCTTATTTTCATGCCTACGCAAGATTGGGACCGAGAACCAGGCGCGATCCAGAATCGACCTGATCCTGCTTTCAGAGGATCTGGCAGGGGCTATGCTGCTCGCAGCAATACTGCCGCCCAACCCATACCCAGGTCTCGATTACAAAATGTGCACAGTGACCTTGTCAATTCGGAAGAAACCCGACCACAGGCCCAGGTTCTACAAACTCAACGTATCGATTCTACGACACGAGACATTCCGGAACTATATCAAAGACTGTTGGACATTCTGGCATACACAGAAACAGCACATCCCGCAAGGAATAGAATGGTTTAATAACGGTCTCTTCTACCTAGGAAAGAAATGTCAAGAGTACTCCAAACAACTAGCAGTCAGAAATCATAAGCAGGAAATGAACATTCACCTACAACTTCAACAACTTGAGCAACAGGACGCAGACAACAACCAACACACACAACCAGATGAACACTTAGAGATCCAAGTCCTACAACAGCGTCTTCAAACCTTTGCCTCACAACGCTGGGAGGGTATATGTATCAGAGGGCGATTGACATGACATCAAAAGGAAGGCTCCATGGACAAAAAGTTCTTTAGCTTGGCCCGAGCGCGTATGCGCAGAACAATGATAGAAGCATTATACGACCCGCACTCGGCACACAGAGACGTGGTCTGCTCTACACCCCAATGTATGCAGATAGCAAGATCCTTCTTCAAGGACTTATTCACGTCCAGGTGTGCCCATCAAGAGAAAAGTGTTCGAGAAAAGGAAATAGCCGAATTCTTAGAACCAATGAGTAAAACCCTGACACACCAGCAAAAAATGAACCTGGATCGACCGCTATCCAAAGAAGAAATCTGGACAGCAATGATGGAGATGGAGACGGAAAAAAAACCGGGTGCGGACGGACTCCCCAAAGAATTATGGGAAACTTTTTGGTCCCAGAAGACCTCAGACCTCATGGATTTCTATAATCTGGTATGGGAGACCGGAAACATGGGGGGAGCTGGTGGGGCAAGGTGTCCTTACGTTGTTGCACAAAAACGGAGATATGATGGACATTAGAAACTACCAGCCGATAACGCTGCTTACTGCCGTATATAAGATGCTTCCAAAAGCTTTAGCGAACCGGCTGATCCCGATCCTGGATCAGATCATCCATCCGACACAGACAGGTTTTGTCAAGGGTGGTAAATGAATTGCTTAAGTTAACCAGGCAAAAGAAGCAAAACGTGGCTGTAGTCTTCATAGACTTCGAGAAAGCCTACGACCACGTGGACTGGCTGTTTTTGGACCGGTGCATGGAAAAAATGAATATAGGCTTGGTCTTTCGTCGCTGGACTGAAATCTTGCATCGTAACGCAACCACAAGCGTCCAAATTAACGACATAATAGCACCAGTATTTCCTCTACGACGGTCTGTCCGTCAAGGAGATCCCCTGGCCCCGTTTCTGTTCATAATAGTGATGGAGGCGCTGGCAGCGAATCTCCGGGCAAACAAAGACCTGAGGAAGCTGCAGATCTCGGCAATTCCGGAAGAAGCCATCCCTGTCTGTTCGATGTTTGTTGATGATCTGACACTCATGGTAGACGCCACCATCGAGAACATGGAAGAGACCTGACGACTGTTTGACAAGTTCACGGCTGTTTCAGACATGACAGTTAATTGGGGTAACAAAACCCTTGGGTGGTGGATACACCACCAAGGAGCGAGCCCCCCGGAGCTGCCACAGGTTAAATGGCTCCCGAAAACAGCCTCGGTGAGAGTGTTAGGAATAATGTTGACAGCAACAGGAAAACCGGCATCGAACGACGACTGGATCCTCAAACCCGCTCTAGAGAAGCTAGAGCGCTGGAATGACAAACATACTTCCTTAATTGGTAGGGCGTTGGTGATTAACAGTGTGGTGTTGGCCGCCCTTTGGTACAAATCGGCAATATGGGCACTCAGCAAAGAAGTAGTGTGGTCGCTCAAACGACAAATAACGGCAATGTTGTGGAGAGGTAACAGCGAGCTTCCCAATGTTATCAACAGGGCGGCGTGGACGTCGGTGATCCAACCCAAGGACAGAGGAGGCTTGTGGATTTTGGACCCGGGCACCCAGGTCACAACACTGATGGTGCAATGGATCAAGAGATTGGTGTTCACACAAGACCTCCCTTGGTATGCCCTGGCGCTGGAACAGATCGCTCGACTCGCTCCACAAGCCCCTCGAACAGTAAACCCCCTGACCTGGCTGGAAGACCGCTTCTGGTCCTTGCCGCGACGCTCCCGCGCGGGCCAGGACCTGAACCGGGATGCAGTCCGCAGCGACCTCGCAAAGGATGATTTTTGCATCCGCTGCATGAAAGCCTGGCGCCAACTACCGCTGTCGGATAGACCTGGGCCAACCAGATGGGAGGAGGTGGCTCGACAACCGCTGTTCGGGAACAGAAATATCACGGATCGAAACGGGAGGGTATACCGCAGCTCCGACTCCCCGTGGAACAGCTGGGTCAAAAGGGGCATAACCAGAGTTAAAGACATCTGGGACTCAGAAAACAAGGGCTGGAAGACAGAGTCACAGATGAGGACGCTGCTGAAGCAATGTCATAATATAGAAAACAACCTGGAAAGTCTGATTTTCGCGATTCCCCTGGATTGGGTGCGCATCCTGCGAAAGGGACCGAAGTTGGCGGAAAGGGACTGGGTGACGGCCCCCGGAGATCCAGAGAGTGTAGGAAATGTTGTAACAACACGCACGGATGAAACGCTGATCAAACTCTTTCACAAAGAAAACGATAAAAACTCACCAAATATGCCCCGGACGTAATGAGATGGTGCCGGAACACTGATCTGTACAGGATCCTGGTGCTACATGATAAGGAGGCTGCATAGTATACCAGCCGGGGACCTGCATTACGGACCTCCCCTTTGACCCGGAGGACTGGCAGTGGCCCCCCGCGCGCAGAACCCCGAGGACACAGAACGTGAAGCTCTACAGCCTGATAGTGAAGGCCACCTATCGTTTACTGCGCTCTAAGGTAAATCTGAAAGATATTGTAGAAACCCGTTGGAGATCCCATCTGAATGTTGGGGTCGACGCCATCCGCCTCATTCGGTGGTTCTCCCTCACAAGGGCCAAACCTGCAAAGCTAGCCTCACTGCAGTGGCAGATAGAGCACCGCTGCCTCCCCACTAATGACTGGCTAATAGATCGCACTTACCTGGAACAAAAAGGACTGGCACTCCCATGGTGCAAATCGTGTCACACGACGTTCCCCTCCCGTAAGATCCCGGACACCATAGAACACATTTTCTTGCAATGCTCGCGGTCTGTTCTTACATGGCGATGGTGGGACAGACTCTGGAGCCTGCTGGACACCGGAACGACCTGGCCATGGGACTGGAGGGCGATACTGTGCGAGACATGGATCTCCCCCTACATATAGTACCTTTGAAGATAACATGTTTAAAATAGGGAGGAGAGCTGTTATGTAGGCGATCTGGAGGAGACGCTGTATACACGTCATGGAGGGAGTCCGCATAGCCGGGGAGGAAATGACAGACATGATTAAACAATTCATACACCAAGAACTTATGGCGCAATGGCAGAAGGTCAAAAGCCAGCTGGATCTATGCCAAACAAAGAAAGATATAGAACAAAAAATTCGACAATTCTCGGGGGACTGGCTGGGCGGCGAGAATGGAGGCCGCATCGCTTCCATCAAGTGGGATGGCGGCCAAGCTAAGGAAGACTAAGAAGGCAACCAGGACGGCAACCCGGAGCCGATCAAACAAGACTATCAGATCTGCTTCAGAGATTGGACAACAGTGGTCCAAGAGGTTCCGTTACGGCCACCATCGGATTTTCCCGATCCCTTTCCAACCCATCAGCTGGCTGTGGTGGACATGCAATGGTATGGAGCGGAGTAAGCAGGACTGCAACAGGTTATATGTAGGGGTGCCAGCATCAGACGTTCTCAGCTCCCCTCCATCCTTTTTCACATTATCATTTGGAGGAAGGAACCAGTTTGTAGCAGCAGATATCTGGCGCCCGGCATGGGGCGAAGAGGTTCCTGTCCCGATACAACCTGCTCAGTTAATCCTCTGGACCCCAGAGCAATCAATGCTGGCAGGGTTTGCTCTACTTCAGGCTCTATTTTCACTCTGTATATGGGATGCTGGATCCGCTTTCCAGCAGGTGATGCTCCCCACCAATAGATGGAGTCTCTCCCCCGGTGCTAGCGGTGTTTGCTCTTACCAGCACCTCTAGCACTGGAGGGGGTTGTTTTGGGAAAGGCCTCCAATGGCAGCACTTACACTCCTGTGTGCCTACAGCTGAATGGTGTACAAGCAGAGGGATGGAGATCTCCCCACACTGTGATGTATGCCCACATGAGGCATTGGAAGATTTCAACCACC